TCTTTTCGGCCGAACAAGTCAAAACTTCGGTTAGAGGGTTTTAACTTTTGGTTTGGGGGTCCGGTTGATTTTAATGTTCCGTTTGAGGCAATTTTGAGAATTTGTTACAAATGGACATTGTTGTTTGAAAAAATTGAAAATGTGCTTATTGGAATTCAATCCAACTACGGAGATTACTTGACCAATATCGGCAAGGAAAGTGAACTAGATATGTCTAAATTTGTAGAATTCAACCCTGATAATGAAATTAGCCGTTTCGCAACTGCTGCTGCTTCTTATGACTTTAAATTTACCGCTAATCCAACTTCAGCTAAAAAATCTCAAAGATCAAGAATGTTTTCCTTAACTTCTTCACCAGGCAAAGATAATTCTTCCAGAAGAAGAAGTACTTTTGGCAATTTGGGACACAGATTAACATCTGGATCTACAAATTCAGCCAATGATTTGATGAATGACGAATTTTCAGATTCAACAAATAACATTTCCTTGAAATCAAAGAAGCAACCTGGTAAGTTGAAATCCACAGTTGGCTCAATCTTTGGAAGAAATAAATTGAAGAATAAAAAGAACCAATCAAGCACCAAATTAGATGATGATTCATTCGATGAAGCATTAGAAACACCTCAAAGACCATTGTCTAGAAGCGGCCGTCGTGCTACCACCGATTCCATCAAACCAGAATTATTCAATAGAAGTAGTGGTCTAAGTTCTGATAATCTGAGAAGAACAGAAAAACGTGATACAATGACTTCACAACTTTCTCGTGGCTCAAGCGCACAGGGAATTTCTGACCCATTTTACAGTACAACATCTCCAAATATTAATCAACCTTTATCAACACCTGCTTCTCCTTCTCAGGTTATGCCACCAATGAGAAGTGCTACCACTTCTTCCTCATATGCCCCAATGTCAATGGTGCAAGCACCATTGCAACCTAAGCCTAGACAAACATTAACAAACTCTTCTCTGGGCCAAGTAAATGCAATTTCAAGTATTCCAAATACCAATTATATTAGGGGAACAACTCCTACACTTCCACCAGCTAGAAAGGATGCCGTTGGAAACTCCTTGTTACCTCCAACAACATATCAACAACCTGTCACTTTAGCAAACAATTTGCAAACCCAAATAACTGGTGAATTAAAGACATTAGAACCTCAATCTGTTGACCAACATAATGCTGTTACTGGTCAATCACAATTTCAACACTCTTCATTAGAAAATGCTGTATTTGGTTTAAATGCTAGTGTTGCTGAGGTAATAAATGCGACATATAAAGATGGTTTACCTATTGAAGCTAATTTGGTTGGTGAAGTCGCATTAACCTATATAGGAAACCAAGCTGTCAGCGCCACACCTCCAATTAGTATTAACTTAAAAGTTAACAATGCTTCTAAGTTTGAAAAGGTGATCTTAAACCATTCATTTCTGGAACGTGTATCTGCTGAGGAATTTAAACTAAATCCACAATTTATCAATTCCAGAACTTTAGGTGCCCTTAAATATTCCATGAAAACAATGGTGACCCCTGTTACTATTCTCCCAGTTTGGAATTATGAACCTCACCAAGCTAGTGTAATTCTTACAATTAAAATGTCTCCAACTGTTCCAACAAATATCCAACACCTTGTTTTGGAAGATTTTATTGTTTATGTCTCCATTGATAATGCCAATGCGACAAGCGCACTATCTAAACCACAAGGTACCTTCAGCAAGGAAAAGAGAAGAATCACCTGGAGATTTAATGAACCATTAGTATTGCCAAGAAACGGTGAACAAAGATTAATTGCTAGATTCATGACTGATGGCATTGCCAAAGAGGCACATAACGGGGTTCAAGTGAAGTTTTCCGTCAAAGATTCTTCTTCAATACAGTTGGGTAGTGGTATCTTATTGCAAGATCAAGAAATGGATGAAAACAATCCATTCGGAGGAGCATGGAAACCTGTTAATAGTACAAGAATATTGAATGCAGGGACATATTGTAATAGTGCTTTTTAATCGAGTTTTAAAAGGGTCAGAAGTATGAGTTCATGAACAATTTTAAGATTTTGAAACCTGCTAATTTTAAGATTAATAATAAAAATAATAATCATAATAATAAAAAAAAAACATTCTGTAATTTATATTGGTGTATCTATTAATAACTGGTAGTGTCGGTAACTTTTGATACCCCTTTTGTTGTACTACCATTTCAATTCATTCTATAGTGTATTATATATCTCTATTGGTATTATATCAGTACTATTTTTTATTATGTATAAGACAAAAATTTAAAGCTGAAATTTTATTGTATTAAGAAGTGATAGTTAGAAGGATAGAAGAAGATAGAAAAATGAATCAGTTGAAGGTCAGTTTGTGAATATCATTACTCTGGAGGTAGTTAATTAGCTAGTTATCTTGCTTATTTGGATATTTTTTTTAAGGAAATACACTAGCTTCTAGAATTTGATTAATAATTTTAGCTTTAATCAGCAGATAAAGAAGATAATAGGAACAATGTCATTGCCAAAAGCAGTTTATTCATCAAGAGATATCGAAGAGAAGTTGTTTACTGTAGATCCTAATAATTCTAGATACCAGACAACTAATGGTAAGACTACAGGGCCAAGTGAATGGGTTTTGAATGCTGGTCAAGTGGATGTTGACAGACCTTCCGACCCAAGAGTTAAAGATGATGTATCTGGGGAATTGACATACTTAAGTAAACTGAGAACCAATTTGACTGGTCTACAGGATGATATAAATGAATTTTTAACAGATCAGATGGAATTAGCTAAGAAGAAGAGAATAAAGAATGAGAAGAGGGAAATGCAAGAGCAAGAAAAGAGAATAGATGACGAGATCAATGAGTTACTGGATGGTGGTGATGGAGAAGAAGAAGAAGATTAAAATTCATCATGAAATACTCATGACTTTACTAGCATTAAATCTCAACCGTGATTTTCTTTACAGAGATTGTATAGGCTACGATGCCTAACGTTATATAATTTATTTTAGGGCAATGAAGATACATACTTAATATTTATACAACAAAGTGAGATTAGAAATCTGGCATTACAAATAAATACAACGTTTAAAATCTAAAAGGTGCATCCCCCCTTTAAAAACCTTACGATAAGACTATTGTCTCTGATTCAAATGTATCATATTACTTGTTTATTGAATCATCAGAACTTGAAATGATAGATTATATATTAAATATTGATCATCAACCATTATAGGTAAGGGAGAAAATCTAACAGTAACAAAATATGGCCTATAATATAGTTGGCTGATGTATCCTTTATTTTCTATTACTCTGTGTCATACGTAATATACGTCAGCGAGGCTTATGGCATCTATTCTAAAATAATAAACTTTATCATCCAGATTTAATGCAAGGTGAAAAGTACAGATCGGGCTCCTCGAGAACGATGTTAATTAGTTCTTCTGAAGCTGATCATCTATAATAGTTATTTATATGAATTTAAAATCGACTTCCAAGGATAATATTTAAAGTTATCAAGTTTTTAATATAAACGACTGTTGGACTGCATATCATCTGATTTTTTAATACGATGAGAATGCTAATGACATGACACCAGATTCTTCGACAATTCTAATATAATAATAACTATTAAAAACAAAAAGCTAATGCTAGACAATTTCAATCATAGTCTTTGAAGCACATTAATTGACGTTGCTATACATATGTGATATTAAGGTGCTATTATCGATAATAGTTTTAGTCCAATAACCCATCTGTTGTTAGAGTACCCCCTTCCGCCAGAACATAATTCTGTATCCTCTTTCAAAGTAACTCAACGACTGAGCAGAGTTAAATGAATGTAATCGATTTCATAGATGAACCTTCTTTGAAACTTCAAATTGCCAAAATTTAAACTTTGCTCATCCCTTATAAATCAAGAAGGAACGATATAATAATTTCAACTGGCAGATGAGTTGAAACTAACCTCCAAGTGATTGCGATCACAATAGATAGGAAATGTAGGATCATTGTTTAGTTTACAACTGTGCTTGCTTGTTCCATTGCTGTCATTGAAAATATTTTCGAAAATACGTGGGACGCGTAAACCTTAAACTATAATTATAATTTAAGGTTTACGCGTCTGAAAAATTTCATGTAATTTACTTAATTGGTAATAAGCAAATTAAAGTAAGGTTATTATTTTATTCCAAGTTCGAAGACCTGTTTTAGTTAACATTTGCTGTTACTTTAATAGTAAATTGCAGTTTTTACAGTTTGATTGTGGAGATGAATTTTTCATTTGACATCTCTTCAATATTACTAACAATTTTTTTTTAAAAGTTTATTGAATTAAGTTCAAAAAACTACAATCACATATAATATTAAAAGATATTTCGACAACTCTTATCATTGATAAATCCATTAAAGTGGAGGATACACAAGATAATTTGGTTGTCTGTATAGTTCCAAGGGTAAAAAAGGCAGACGAGAAGAAATTGTGATAATGAGGGACCGTCTGAGGGTGAAAGAGATGGAATACATGTCGCAACTGAAGCAGTTGCTGGCAATTTGTGAAACGTTCAAAGGCAATGGTTCCTCTAGATTAGACCCAATGATGAATGTCAGTTGTCAAACTGATATCATTGCAAATTCATTGAGATTAATACTAGTCAAATATTCTTCATTGCCATTTTATTCTGATGCTTCATTAGATTTTACTGCATTGTTATCCGATTTATTGGAAGACAGATCATTATTAGATCAATATAGGTTAGTTTTGTTTACTGCAATTGATTTGATATTGAATGAAAACATTTCTCTCTTTAGAATAGAATCTCATCCCCAGTTCGTAACCTGCATTATTAATATTTATTCTAGAATCATTGAATATTCTTCTCTAGCGCTCAATTCTTCTGATGAGTTTATATCTTTGCAGAAAGAGTTTCAGTATTTATTCTCTACAAAGTACGAGAATTTAGATTCAAATTTATTAAAATTTAACAACGTTCACGATTTGCATTCATTTTCAAATGGTCTAGTTTCTTCCTTTCCAGTTAGATTGAATGAGATTGTCAATAGAGGTTACTTTATACTTTCAATTGAGAAACTAAATTATAAAAAGATACCTGTAGAAATTTTCCAGCTCTCAAATGGTCACTTGGCCATATTTAAAGTTGACTCAGAATATATCCCTAGTGACAAAAATGATATTCTTTCGAATTTACTAAACAGCAAATTTCAGATTCTTAACGTTGGAAGGTCATTGTTATTTCCATTTTTAAGGAAGAATGACTTGGTTATAACCAATTTATTAACAGGTGGATGTATTCTAAAGACTAAAGTTGGAAATAATATCGAGTTACACATTCAATCTATTAGCGAATTAGAATGGAATAAATACTGGAACCTATATTTCCATAAATTATTCGATGAAGACAACATTTTACAAATTGATGATACAATAATTACAACTTCGACCTTAAACAAATCAACTCATCATTTGCAGTCCTTCAAAATTAAATATGATGAAATCACCAAGCTAAGACCAGAAAACACAACAGGGTTGGCCATCCAAGCACCCGCTGCCAGGTCTCTCAAAGTTAAAGGGTTAGATAATAATGTTTCTAATTTACAAAAATCGATGTTACATCGCTCAAAGCCGTTGACAGGTTCTCTATCGTCATTAATTGTAGATGAGATGAAATTTCAGAAGTCATATACAACCGAGGATTTAAGTAAAACTAATAACAACATCTCAGGTGTAGATGCCGGAATTTCAATCGAAAACGAGATTAAGAATTTCAGACTATCTGATAATAATACAACTGATGCTATCAATAACAAACAAACTAGCCTTTTGAGCGCATCGAACAAAAATTCACCAGAGAAGGTGAATGAAGTGTCTGATGTTGATAGTATTATATCCGAATTATTAGATGAAAATGAAGCAGGATTGATTTCTGAACAAAATATAGAAGCATCTATAACAAGCAGTCCAGAATACATCCCTTCATTTTATAAGAAGAAATCCTCATCTTTACTAAGTGTATTTGCAAAGAATAAGAGTAAGAATAAAACTAGAAAGCTTCAATCTAGTGACAACATATTGGACAATAACTCTCCAATTTTTGGTAGCTCAACTAGTTCATCACTTTTTCATACCGAGGAGGGAACTGGTACCTTAAACCCTGATCCAGAGTTGATGACATCTTCCGTATCTTCCAAATACAATTCAGAGCTTACGGATTCTAATCAAGACTATTTCGAAGTTCCTGATCAATTTAGAAAAACTTCATCTAATACAGTTTTTGAAGCTGATGGCGTTAAATTATCAAGTTGGACAGGGAAAGGTTGGTCACAATTGGGCAACAATTCCAATAGCCTGTCAATTATAGAAATTATAAAGAACAATTATGCTTTAGTTCTGACATGTAATGAGGATACTAAATATGGAAATAATGGGATATTGATTTGCAAAATATCTGCGTCTTGGAAGTGCATGAGATCAACTGCCCAAGATATACAATTCACAATATTAGGAGGTAATATTGTTTCCAGCATTATACCAATACAGGAGAAGAACTTATTTAGTATAAGGTACACGATGGCTGAAGGGCTAATAAATGTTTTAAGTCACTGTATGAGAGGAAATTTGCCAATCTCAAACACAGTTTCTACTTTATCTAGTTCTACTACTGCTGGAACACTTTCAACTGCAAACTCATCATACTTCGATAGTAATTCATCAACTGTCAGCAACTCTTTTTCTAATTTATCGGAATTGGGAGCATATGATGAAGGAGTGAAAGTTTCAAAAAATACTAAGGACTATAAGACATCTCTACTTTTGCCATCTATCAGAGTAAAATATCATCAACAAACTAGTGATAATTACTGGAAGGCAATGGGTACAGGCAATGTAAACATATACTCCCAAGAATATCAAAAAGTAAAAATTGCATGTAAGTTTGAGATAACTTATGTTGATTCTAATAACCGGAAAGAAAAGAAATCTTCAACGTTTGTTAGTTACCTGCACAAAATTAATAAAGTTGGTAGAACAGGTATTTCTTTAACCGACTTTGCAACTAATAATTGTCAATTGTTGGAATTTCAAAATCAAATTGTTGCCGATCAAGTATTCAAATTACTTTTCCAATGAATTATGGACACCCAATCCCTCTAATATTTAATGACCGTGACATTATTGCTGCATATTTAAAAGTTTACTACAATGCATAAAAATAATTATAGAGATAAGAATAAACGAAATATTTATCAAATTTTAATAATATAATATAATATAATATAATATAATATAATATAATATAATATAATATAATATAATATAATATAATATAATATAATATAATATAATATAATATAATATAATATAATATAATATAATATAATATAATATAATATAATATAATATAATATAATATAATATAATATAATATAATATAATATATACAAGGACAATTATATACAATAATGATATACTGTTTTAAGCATTGTAAGCCACAACAGCTGCTGCATTTACATTTCTTCTAATATCACGTTTATCGACATCGTGAGTATCTTCAACTTCCCCCCATCTATCAACCTGATGAATGGTTTCTAATGTAGCGTATCTAACTATATCTTCAACATTATATTCTAATGCCAACTTATTAACACTGTTGGACTTTCCTTGCAATAATAAGATACCACAGATGAAAGATTTAGTAGTCAAAACAATCTTTTCAAAGATTGCTAAATCCCAATAAGATAAGCTTTCTAAATATTTTTTAGCAGCCTCTTTGGTATTTAAATCCTGTTGATTACCTCTTAATCCATGTATATCAGCATCCAAAATATTTAATTTTATTGGATCATTTGCAAACTCAGTTAAGAAATTTTCAATCGAATCAATTACAGGTAAGTATAATTTATTCTGCTCTTTCCTTAGAGCACCTTCAAATTCTGACGCTGGAGAAAATACTAGTAATGTATCAGTGTCAAGATAACGCAATAGATCATTAATAATTTTATTACGATCACCATTGAACTTAACAATATCGTCTAAATTACCGTTTTTATTAACTGCCTCTAAATCAATGCAACGAGAAGTCAAAGAGGTCAATGGCAAGGAATATTTCTTAATCGATAAGTTTGGTAAGTTTTTCCATTCATTACTTAACATCAATGCCAACATTTTCTTATTTTTATCAACAGCCAATAAGTTCCCCATCGGCGTATTAATAGTCTTAGAATCCAATTGTATTAAATACTTCCCTGAAGTTTCATCATAATGGTAACTTACTTTATCCCAGAATTTGGTCAATGTCTTTGACAAACGGTTAGTTTCAGTCTTCTTATTATTTTCAATCGTTGTATCAATACCAAAAGGTTGTGCAGTACCAGTATCATTAGTAGCAGTTGCAGCGGATTTCAAGACAATAGAAGAAACATGGTAGTTTCTAACCTTCCATACCACCTTAAGTTTATTAAAATTGTATACTGATTTTGAATATCTACCTAACATCGAGCTCATGAAGTCCTCTAAAGTTGAAACTTCCCTCTAATCAATAATTCTTTCTTGAATATCTCTGAATCAGATTTTATCTAGTGTAATGAATATTTAAATACTTAAATTAACTTTTTCATGTGGAGAAGAGACAAGATATTTTAAAAAGTAAAGGAAAGTAAAATGAAGTTTAATTATTAGTTTATTACAATTTAAAGAACAGATGTACCTGGTGACCTATTGATCATAGGTTTTTGTTCTTATGTTAAATAAGTTATGTTATATTCTTTATTTGATTTTATTATATTTTATCTTTTTTTATTAGACCTTTGAAATATATTTATCTATGCTGACCAATATCTATAGAGTTGTGGAGCTTCGATAGAGACTGGTTTGATGTTATCTTCGATGTTACCGATGTCTTCAGTTGCATCTGTAGCATCTTTCTCCAGTTTAGCAGGGTTTGGACCGATACTTAATGTTGGTGGTTCCTGCAGCATCTCTTTAATTTCTGAAATTTGAGTTTTCAGGTTATCGCTATCTTCACCAAGCTCTAGAAGCTCTACAACTTCATTAAGCTTATTATATACAGTATTGGAATGTTTTGTAATTGTTAATCTTTGTAATAATACATCTTCTTGTTGCTTTTGTAAAGATTTCTTTTCTAATTCTAGAGCTCTTTCACAATTACTTAAGAATTTTAGTTTTTGATCAATCTTTTGCAGTTGAACTTCCACTAATTGGTTTGTTATTGAATTTAATTGCCTCTCCTCGTTATTTGCAAATATATGTGATCTTAATCCAACAGACGAAAGTGCAATTTCAGAACCTTCTTTTGCATTATTTTCTTGAGGGTATTTTTTCAATTCGTCATCATCAAAGCTTTGAATAGCTCTTTGAGTCATGCTCTTAACTATTCTAGGATCAACCAATCCAACTAAAAAGGCAATTGTAGATAATACTGGGTTGTCAGACTTAGAAAATGGTAAATGTGGAGCATACTTCAAAGGACCTAAATCGTTCGAAGCACCATTTCCGCTAGAACCATGTAGGTACTTATCTTCAATCGGTAATTGCAAAAACTTTAAAATACAGTGCTCTGGTGATTTTGTTCCAACTTCTTTCGCCACTTTATACCAATTTGCACCATTTTTTTGAATACCATTTAACAATTTCTTGAGTTCATCTTTTGTCCATTCAATGCCTTCTTCATTCATTTCATTATTTTTGCCACTTTCTTCTAAAATTCTAGGTCTTTTTGTTACTGGCTGTAAAGATTCTAATCCGGATTTTGTTTCGTTATTACCACTTTCCAATTTAGCATCTGTTAACGTACGTTTCTTATCACCATTGTTTCCCTGTTCTTCCATTTCCTCATATTTTCTTTTACTATCATTCAAATATTTAGATAAGCCTGACGATTCATCTGATATATCCATCATTTTCTTTAGTTTTGACATATCCGGGAGCTGCACGGATGGTTTGTAACTTTCAAATGGAAACAATCCCCTTGGTGCATCATGTTTTACTGAATATTCTGCTGTTAATGGAGGTTCAACATTCTTAGGTAATAACCTTGAGTCAACTTGATAGTTAATTAAACCCCATTTCATTAAAAATCTATGGATTCTGAATAACGCAGCCGCATCCCCAGATATATTTCTTCTAGCTGCGGTCACAGTAAAGTACTCGTTAGGATTAATCCTGTATGTATTAACCATAAAATTACGACACTTGACATATACTTGAGGTGTTTTTGATGGGATTCTATTTGTGAAGTATTCAGGCAACGAGTTTTTTTCAATCGGATGTATTTTGTTCAAATCAAACCACTTACTGTAACTTGGGATAACAATTTCATGAGATTGTGGTATGTATAAGTTTTTATCTTCTTCATTGATATCCGAATCAAGAGATTTTTGATTAGAATTCATATCATATTTCAGTTTCTCGTTAGTAAAATTCTCTGTTACCGTTTCTGAACTTTGGTTATCCACATTCTGGCCTTCATTGCTTTCAATATTTTTAAATGATTCAGTATCATCAATATCCATTTTTGCATCATCATGAACTATATTACCAGCATTATTCGTATCAGTCGTTAAGCTTTCGGTAGGTTTATCTACTGTGCTTGATTCTGTGTTTTCCGAATTTTTAACGTTTGACTCAGACCCATTCTGCTCTGCAGATGATTTTTCTTCATCACCATTATATGATATTTTCATTTTATCTTCAGAACCCTTTATAGAAGCATTTCCCTCACTTGCATCAACCTCTCTTATATCTGGAGAAGATACATTCTTTATAGCTAGGGAACCATTTTCCACTTCATTTGTAATGATTTTTTGTTGAAGTTCTGGATCCTTTCTTCCTTCATCTTCATTTTCAGCTTTTTCATTTTCACTTATATCCAACTTGCCTGAATTTTCATCTATTAAATCATCATTATGAGGTTCCTTTTCGGAATTTTCACCAGATTTTGAATCATCATTTTCTACATGAGTTGTTGTTGTTGTATATTGTTGAAGCGATGTAGTAACTTGATTTGAAAAACTGGTCATCGATGCAGATTGCAATAGTTCTGAATTTGGGATAGCACTATCTGTCTCGCCAGATGTATCAAAAGTATCCTGGTTATTTTGTAAATTCAAATCAATTTGATTTTCACCTTCTTGCTCTTCATTTATTTCGGATTCAACGTCAGGGATTTTGTCAACCATATCATCGATCAGAAACTCATCATTTTTTGTATTAGGAGACTGAAGATTGATATCAGTTTCTAATTCATTTTTATCATCGTTTTGAAATCCAAGTTGGGAATTAGTGGTAACTTCAACATCAGGATCATTCTTACTTTCTAGATGTGCTTCATTTTGGTCTCCTGTTTCAGTTATGCTATTTCCATCAACAGGGGATTTAACCGACATGTCACGTTCTGCATCATTGATTGATTCCAAATTGTCCTTGGTTTCTAGTTCCGTTCCATTCAAGTTTGATTCTTCCTGTTTATCATTTGTTTCTGATTCATTTAGTTCCGAATCTTGTTTGATATTTAGATCTTCGTTTAATAATTCACTCTCTTCTTTACTTGGAGCTTCACTTTGTTCTGTACTTGGGAGTTCAATTTGCTCTTCAGTTGGGAGTCCAGTTTGATCTTCAGTTGGGAGTCCAGTTTGATCTTCAGTTGGGAGTTCATTTTGATCTTCAGTTGGGAGTTCATTTTGTTCTTCACCCGGTAATTCGTCATCTTCTTTTCTTGGGAGTTCAGTCTGTTTTTCACCAGGTAATTCACTTTTTTCTTCACTTGGGAGTTCACCCTGTTCTACACCCTGTTCTACACCCCGCTCTAAACTCTGCTCTAAACTCTGATCTAAACTCTGATCTAAACTCTGATCTAAACTCTGATCTAAACTCTGCTCTAAACTCTGCTCTTTACTTTGTTCTTCACTTTGTTCCTCACTCTGTTCCTCACTCTGTTCTTCACTTTGCTCTTCTTCGCTCTGTTCTTCACTTAGCAGGTCACTTGGCTCGTTACTAGGTTCTTTACTTGCTTCGCTTTTGTCGATACTATTATCAGCATTAGCTTCTTCATTTTGAATTATTCCTGACTCATTTTCTTGTTCGTTTCCATCATCTTTTAATGCTGGATCCTCTCGATGAGTATCATTCGGAACCAAATTTCCATCTATATTTTCTGAAGTGTCTTTATTGCTATCTGTAGGTATATCGATATCATCTGTATTTGGAATCAATGCATCTTCCAATTGTAACTCATCGTCAACTATACTGTTTGAAATTGGTGAATTATTATTATCATCACTGTTTTTAATAGGGTTTTCATCACCGTTTAAAGGGTTTCCTAGCAAGTCATCTTTCAAAATACCATCGAATAAGTCACTCTGGTCGTTAAAGAGATCGTTATTATCATCATTATCATCGATGTTTGGTTCATGGTTATCAGATAACGACAACATCAAATCCTCATCAAGTTTGTCGATATCCATGATTGAAACAACAAAGCAAAAATGTTAGAGTATTCGACTGCCTTTTTCACAATAGATTCCTTTTAACTATAAAGAGAGTAATTAGAAAATAATCAGTATCCCGTAATCAAAATAAACTAAATCTAGCCGCAACAGAACCTCCATGAATAGCTTTAAGCTTCCAAATTAACTTAATTTTAATCTATTCAATTAGGTTAATTTACAATAATAACAATAATTACAATTATGTTAACTAACAACATAAAAGAAATTACCGAAAAAAACAAAGGAAATCGACATATACCTAATAGAAATAAAAAGTAAGGAAGAAAAGAAGGAAGGAAGAAAGTGCTAAGAGCAATAACCAAAAAAATAAAACAAAATTAGATGAGCCAAAATTTTAATTTTTTAACAAAAAAAAAAAAAAAAAAAAAAAAATGTCATCATTACCAACGAGTTACCCTCACACAACAACAAAAATACAAAACACCAATCATTAAGTACGTGGAATCACATGTCCTATCATTATGAACGTAAATTGACAGGCAAGGCTACTTAGGATAGTCAATAGCGGCAAATGTGAAGATCTCAAAACAGGCAAAGAACCGCCAAACCTCAGATTGGAATGATGTTATTCCATACACGTTGAATATATATTTCCAATACCATTGATCATAAATAACAGCCTTGTTCTCTAAAACACCTTGCTTTCTCAAACCCCAATATCTTGTTTCCTTTCCCTTTCCCTTTCACCTTGTCTTAAAATCTGACATGTAAAAGAAAGAAACTGTTTTTCAAATTTACTTCACTTTATATACTCGAGGGGGGGAGGGAATTTTCATTCGGCAAAAGATGCCACAAAGACAATCCGAATACAAGAAGGTCGGCGGTAAACTGGATGTGCATCCCCTTGCTCTCTAAAGAAACCGATCAGTCAATGAGTCCGTTGTATTCAGTTAAACCCAATGAATTTCCGTCGATTAATCTATTTAATAGAAATTCTATTTATTGATATAGATACCTTCTTCCATCTTTGAATAAACCTTCAAGAACTGACGTTTTCTCTGGTCCAGCCTTACTTCAGTGCTCTTATTAATTCAAAAATGGCCCAGTCGACCTGGTGCCACGTAGGATATGATAGAAGTCACGTGGTGAAGAGAGGGTAAAAAAATGGATTATTTCATATATCCCATTGCTGACCTCCCTAGTATTTAGTAGAGTCATAGGGAGAGGAGTGAGTTGGAAACAAAAATGATAGTGAGAGAAACATGACAATTTATGGTATGATATAATACGATATGATCTGATATAAATTTCCTTGCTGCTCTGTCACTAGATATGTATGTACCTTCACCCATATTACGATCCTGGCGCAGTTTAAAACATATCTGCAACTGTTGAATTTCGTATGAAGGTACCTACACCTAAAATAGTACATACAGTTTTTTTTCATCTCATCGTTTACGAAAGGAGTACGCTCGTTATTCTTATTCCCATATAGTCAACATCATTTTTGCTAATATAGCAGAATACTGAATATAAAAATGATTTGATCCATTTGATATAGCACTATAAATATTAAATAACATTTATTAAATCTGTGATTCTGGGAACCAGTCGTTCAGATCAAATACATTTATATATATACATATAGATATATTCAAGGATCTGTCGAAATCATTAGCTATGAGATCACTATATCTAATTTTTTGTTTCCTGCTCTCCTTCGCTGTAGCAGATGTTGGTCTTTTTCAGCCTGCAGCTAATGCTCAATTTCAACCTGATTCAAATGGTCAAGTGTCTATAGAAATTTCCTGGATAGATAATTTAGCTTATCCTTATATGAGCAATTTTACTTCTTTTACTTTCACTTTAAATAATGGTAATAATACCGATATTTTAAAAGTAAAAACTTTAGATGATAAAATCACACCAGATCAATTAACGGTTAAGAGTGAAGGTAGGTTCCCTAAGTATTCTTACACAGTTACCTTCGATAAATCCATTACTGGTAATGGTCAATTTTTTATTCAAGTATATGGTCTTGTTCCAGGTCAAGGTAATACTATCCATTATACACATAGATTTTACCTAGCAGGGATGTCAGGTGTTAATACTGTTACCTACATCGGTACTACCGAGCCAATTCCTCAAACATCTATTGTAACGATGACTACCTCAGTTGCTACCATTAATTCAGCATCCTTTACTGTACCTTACGCCCAACAAACTGGTATATCAAGATTTGCACCTATGCAGACTCCTCCAGTCTCTAAGGTTACTGCAACTTCGTGGTCCAGAAGATTTGCTACTAGTGCAGTTACCTACTTTACAACTGCTATCCATTCCTTACAGCAAGAAACTACAATTACTGAAGGTTGGAGTGGAGTTTTTACTTCCGACTACAATTATGCAACTCCAGCTGATTTCCCTTCAAACAATGGTGGTTGGTACGCTCCTTCTTCCAGACTATCTTTATCAGCAAGAAAGGTCAATTATAGAAAAGTTTAGTTATTATCATGGTTTGGACACTAAACTATCATTCAGAGAGATATTATTCAATTAGAATTTTTACAACAAAATATATACCTATATAAATAAAATTATATATTTAGATCTATAACAATAGATTAATCATTATGAGTTATTAGAATTTTTTGGTCAACTTTATTAAGTATACCTGTATATGATAAAGTGAAATTAAATGAAGTTGTATTATTATTTTTTAGTTTCAAGTTTGTAATGGAAATCTAACTCACTTGAATCGTCCACTTCAGTAGTCGTAGTAACATTACTTTTCTTACTTGGCGAACAATTTTGATATTCTTCTTCACCACGGTAGACAGTGACATCATCATCGAATATTTCTACTTCCTTCTCAAGTTTATTTATAGATTTAGTGTCATTTGGTGTTCTCGAATCCATCAGTTGCGCTGGAATAAATTCAACGACGTCTTCACTGTAAATATCTTCATAATCCAAATCCTCTAACTCACTCCATCTTCTATTTCTCCTTATATTATCCATTTTTTTTGTATCAAATGGTATCTTGTAATCTACATATATCCTACTATTTTCAATTGGAGTCCTTGTAGTGAATGCATACATTTCTTCATCCATTTTTTCTTCACCACTTGATGATGACATATATTCTGTGCTGAAATCATCTTTTGCAGTAGAAAGTTGACCAAGCAATTTAGCCACACGGTTGTCCTTGTGTGTTTTAACAAATCCTTTGAAGAAGTCAACAATGAATCCCAGTTTGACGGTGTACAAGAATCTTTCATACATTTTCAATGCGTCTGAACCCAGGCCAAAGATAATAAAAACTAAGTAAGACATGACATCATAAATCCAAATGTTATACAATGGCTTACCAGGATCAAATTTAATTATTAAATGCCATGTAATATTTGAATGTACTCGATCGAAGTTGAAGTTACCACGAACAGATTCTAAATCGTGAGCAAAAGTATAAACTGACACTGGGAACATAACCAAAATGATAACAAAGCAAAAGATTAATAATCTGGCAAACCTTGTAAGATTAAGACCAGAATTGGTACAATGTAATATGTCTCGCACATCTTTACGTTTTCTATAAAAGACATATAAAACCAGACATGCATAGATGGTAGCAATTAATGACCAAATGAACATCCACATTGTATAAATAACTGTAGTGACCCAGGTGGGGGTAAGCAAATTTTGACAACCATTGTAACGTGCAATACCGAATCTATAAATTTGGACTATATAAGATAATCCCATCACACTAATTGGTGTCACTAAACTTATAGCTAAATCTTTTGCAATTTTTTGCCATGAGTTTAAATCTGGTAAGACAGCGTCAGCTTTCAAAATTGTATGCAAATTATAAATGATATTTGTAACAGCGCAAGAGATACCAACGTTGGCACCAATTTGCAATTTTATCATTATATCACACCAACCTCTACCATTCCATTTATTAGCGTAATCCTCTCCACTCCAAACTGCTGCATCTACAATAGATTTCAAATCCATCAGCAGCAACCATATAATCAATATAATAGCAGGAATATTTTTAGACTGTGTATGCCAAGCCAATGGAGGCAATAGCAACAAAAATGCAATTACTGATAACCCAATAATATTAGATTCTATTGACATTTCGGTAATGTGTATTCTTATGGATCATATATTTTCTAGTAAGGCCAAGGAAATAAAGAATCAACAACAAAAATAAACAATTCTATAAGAAACACATCAAGACAAAGGACAAGAATAATTTGAAGTCAGGATATATATATATATATATATCTATGCCCTCTAAAATTTCACTTCGAAGCATTTCAAATCAGCTTTGAATTATTCGAATAATATCTTGTTTATCTAAGTCATGCATGTTTTACAACGTTACTGAAACATTTAAATGATTTCAAATCTCATTAGCTGCCTTTTAGGAAATGTAATGGAATCTAATCAGCTTCTCCAGCACAACATTGTTCGAATCAGTCCTGGTTCTTATAATTTCGTTCAATTCGAACTCCACCAGTTTCCTAATTAGTGTCGCAATGAGTGTTGCGGTTCGGTTTTTGAAAATATCCTAAGGTTTGAAAAAGTGATTTGTACGATAGTTTCTTGGCAGATTTGAAAAATTATATATATATATATTTATTTGGAATAGGAAGAGATGATATGAGATGGTTATTGAATGAGATAGTCATTTAACTAGAGTTGGTGGGAAGAATATAGTACCTTTTCACTGCATCTGCTGCATTGTAGTAATCTTGTTTTGGAATAATTGATTGTTACAGAAGGAAACTTTTTTATGATTAATACATAAGGTAGTGTCTAAGTAGAGGTAAACGGGTATACAGAAAGATATAAACAGATAGAAAAAAAACAACCAAAATATACAGAAACTAACAATAGTATTGGATTATATGATATTTGATCTTGTTTCTAGGACTAAAAAGGAAAGTCTTGAATTGGGAAATGAAAGTTATATGTTTTTGAAAGAAATATCCATTATGAACTTGGTATTAAGGTTATAATAATAACATATGGACGACAGCAGTAGCTATAGAGATAACAGAGATCCATAAACCATCTCTCTTTTCGAAAGCAGAAATACCGTTGGATCTAGCAGTACCAGTAGATGATGGTGCAGCTACTGAGGCCAATTGAGTTGAGAAGGTATCGTTGTTAGCAATATTGGCTAACAAAGAGTTTAGAGCACTTGCTGAAATAGATTCATCAAATACAGTGGAGTTTGAAATGAAGGAAATAGTGTTACCACTTGAGTCAAATACTACACCACCTCTCATAACACCTGAAGTGTCTCTTGGAATTGAACCGCTAGCTTGTAAACCGTTGTGCAAGTCATCGGTGCCTTGGAAAGTATGGAAAGTTGAGTACAAATCATTTAATTGTGTACTGTTCATGACTTCGAAAATATCGAATTCACCACAACCACTTGCCCAACAAGAACAGTTGGAGTTTGTTGGGTATTGAGAAGTTCTAGGAATATGATCATCCAATAACCAGATAGCTGGCATATCATAATAACCAAAAGAAGTACTGTTTTGCTGAGTTTCAGTAGGCATTTCAAATTCGAATAAGAACATTTTAGTAACACCACCAAACCCATAGAAAGCTGGGATATCCTTACGATAAACACCACAACCTTCTTTTTCACCAGACTTTGGACAAGATATATTAGAGAAGATGGCATATTCTTTGTCTGAAGCGATTAAATTGTTGTCTTCTAGAATTTGAGAAGAACCAGCAGCACCTGAACCATTTGAAGCCAAATAAGTTAAAGCATTACCCAAACATGGAGATTGTTCACCGGCATTTGTTAAGAAAGTGACATTTTGTGAGGTTTGAGAAGAGGAATCATAATAAGCATTACGAGTCCAGTCAGCAGAAGATCTAGTATTATTAATAACAAAAGAAGAAGATGTATAGAATCCAAACTTGCTTAATGTTAAAGGACCACGGAAATGAACAGATAAGTATTCAGATAATGGAGCGTTGGTACCTGAAAAATAAGTACGAGAAGTATCTAACTCACAAGTACATTTGTCATTAGTAGGATCAGAAATCTTCTTAACGTTCAGAAAACTACCAGAGAAACCAACATTAGTAAATGAGATTTTATTATAAGCAGAGACTGCAATAAATTGGAATAATAAAACTACCAAGAAACTTGGTAATTGGCCTAACATCGTAAACGAATGTAAATATATATATGGGGGTGTGTATATATATGATATGTATATATATATATACTCTCAGAATCGACGTCTTTCAACAAATCTAGTTGATAATTCTAATAACATTAGAAATATATACTTCAAATCTTAAATAAAACAATAGTTATATACAGATGATAATGACAATAGTAATAAAAACAAGAAATAAGAACAAGAATAGATAAAAACAACAACGAAACAAGTTCAGTCCTCAGTCCTCAGTCCATTAGTCTATTAGAAATCTCGAAACTTGATTAAATTTCACTTATTAACCCTCTGAGAAATACAAATAGTTGCTGTATTTCCTACACTATTAAAAAGTGCAATAGTCGTTTCTTATAAGAAGGATCGAAAAAGTATCAACAAGAAATCGTTTCGAAAACCTCGCAACAGTGGGAGAAAGAAGAGATTATTCTATAGAAGATAAGAAGAGTGAATAAGGATTGCTTTATGGGGGGGAGTTGAAGTGGCTTTGATTAGTTGACGTCAGTTGGTTTATGATTAAGTACGTTTCTTCTTGACTAACATATATGGGTTAAGTTTGGTAAACCGTATGTGGAAAGAGAGAAATGGATGGAATTTCCACTTAGTTGAGCTGAATTGAAAGGATAAGGATGTATGTATTTACTTACTTGTTTATATGTGTATGTAGTGTGTGTGTGTGTATGTGTGGTTATCTTGTTCCTGTGCTTTTATTTTATTTTATCTCATCTTGTTTTATGGTATTGCTCAATGGCTTGATTTCTTACATGCTATTATTATGAGTGCGATGAGTATACCGTATACTATTGTTGCCATGATTGATCTTAAAGTCCATGTATTGAAGTGGGATCTAGTAGAATCGTGGGATTCTACAATCTGTTCGGCAGTTTTTCTGAGGAATACTGCCCTGAACCTGCTGAGGTCTACACTATCGCTATCTGTCATGGATCTTGAACGAGTTTTAGATTTGATTGTATTGAGATCATCAAAAGGGTTGGTGATAGTATCGTCGCTATCACTGTTTTCATTGGAAGAAATGCTATTGATCTCTAGATCACTACGTTTTCTGATCAGTTCTTGTTCGTAGAGTGTGGGTAGCTCGTCATCTTGCAATTCAGAATGAGTTATTTCATGGGATGTGATTAATTGCGTACCTATGTATATTCCAATGTTGGCAATCCAGAATAATGGGAATATTACCCCAAAGAAAAAAAACTTGGGCATCCACCAGCCATATTTTACACCGTACTCACAAGCTTGACATTCACAGTAAAATTCTCTTTCTTCTTGTTCAAATGGCGCCACTAGATATTTTCTCCTGCTGTTACCATTTTTCACTTCACTGGCGTCAGAAGAGGTTTGGCTACTAATTTCGAAAAAGTCCATTGTTGATTAGTCTGGTTGGATGCTGTCATAGTCTACATGACAGATATATCCTATCCATCAATCCCATGATGTTGAATTATATCGACAGTATTTATATCTTTTATTCTTCAGTTTCAATTCTTCTTGTATTTAAGTTGTTACATGTTAGCAAGATGTAAATTTCCTAATCGGGTAATTACAAGATCTGAAACTGACTAACATCGGATAGATCAGCAAAAGACAGTGACTACAAACAAGGTTCTATTTGAGGGTTTCCCCAGTCCTGTCTCAACTTGAGTTAGCCAGAATACTGTTTTACAAGGTTGTTGATTTTTTGTAGGTGATCTACAATGAATGTTGTAGGATATTATTAGTACTGATACAGCTTATGTAAAACTACATGGTTGCTTTTATAAGTAATAGCCTCATTTTCTTTTTGCTTAGTGATTATTAAGAGTTGAAATTAAAAGAAAACCAGGTTTTATGCATGCTTAGTAGATTTTTTATCTTGATATTTTTGTATGAACTTGTCCATGTAGATTGTTGTAAAATCTCTGATTTTAGCTCTTTTTTCTTTGGTAGGTTCTTCATCTGGTGCTCTCGAAGGATCCTTCTTCAATTCTTTGCTGGTTAATATTTTTACAATTTCTCTTGAACAATGTTTTGTATGCTCGTGACTGATATTATGTTCATTTTCATATTTTTTCAAGAGATTTGGCACAACGCTGGCAAAAAACTTATTCCATTTATGTTCGATATGACTAGAACGAGATACTTGTTTCTTTTCTACACGTCTTTTCGCTCTCTCTTCCTTTTCTTTTATCGATTGTTCTCTTTCCAATTCCTTTTGCTTATTAGCAAATTCAATAATCTTTGTTAACTCAGATTTTTTCTGGTTTTCTAATTCAAATTTTTCCTTTAACAAACGTTTCTCTTCATCCTTAGCCTTTTCTAAAGCTTTCATTTCATTTTCTATTCTCTTCATTTTAATCTTCTCATAGGCGTCATCATCAAGTCTATGTCTCTTATTAAAGTTAGAATTTTTCTTGTGAAAACCATGCAAGTTATCTCTAGAAGATGTCCTGGAATTAAACGTTTTGGACGAGCCTGACGGAGGGTGGCGTAACTTTGTCTGTAATTGAGCATTATAGTACATTGGTTGACCATTTTCATGCACAATTTCCCAGCCTGGAGGCAATCTTATTCTTCTGACATCTGTCGCTTTCTTAGAAATTTCATTGATATCCTTTTTAGATATTCTATTATATGTTTCATATGAATTCCATTTTTCCAGTAACTCTTCACCTTTATTATATAAGGTATTATCTCTCGTTATCAAATCATTTATTTTTTTGTCTATACCGGATGAGGTAATACCGTTTTTTGTAGTCTTTGGTAACCTATCTAAAAATTCCAAAATTTGACCCAATAGGCCAATATCATTTGCATAGAATTGTAATAATTTGGCAAAACATCTGTAGCCATGGAATTTAATGACTTGGTGCAACAAAGACTCATCTGTTATCATGAAAAGTCTGCTCAGTAGTTTTTGTCCAATGTATTCATCATCGATCTGTAATAATACACTCATTACTTTGGTAACCTCGTCCATGCTTTCACAAGCAGCTAATGACAATGATTCTACAAAGGATATATTGATGTTTGTTCCATTACTTTTATCTATTTTCAAACCTTTGGCTTTCATCTCTCTGATCCATTTCTTTTCTACAGACACTTTTACTCCTAACGCATCAGCGTAACTTTGAGGAAGTAATGAAGCGGAATCGGTCTGAGTCTTACCACCCAAAAAGCCTATACAATTTGGTTCTTCACAATAACATTTTTGGGCAGTAGCACCATATCTATCCACATTATAATCGAAAGTAATTTCTTCACCTTTATAGATATCTCTTTTGGCAAAAATCCCCATTTTCAATTTGCCTGCAACGACCCATTTGTTTACGTATGCATTTGGGTTACAAGAATGGTTACAGAATCTAGCCAATGAACCTTTTATAGTGGCATCGATAAATTCAGCATTTTGCAACATCATAAAATAGAAATGTTTGAAACCTCTTTCATCGTAATCTATCAGTCTTTCCCTGAATTCATCTTCTTCGATTACTTCACCTTTATATTCGTAAATAAAATCATTTGCCTCTATATCTTTATTGGCACGTACACCGTAACCTTTCATTTTAGTCTTAAATACTGAGATATCTGCATATTCCTTTTTTTGGAATCTCTGGTTCTGACAGTTATCACCACAAGTATCGCATAACCCATTTACACATTCGATTAAAGTCAATCTATTGATACAGTCAGAGTTTTCGTCACAGGCATGGTTTATTCCTTCTTCAAACTCCTCATAACAGTCACACTCCATAAAATCACTACTTTTGGCATTACCAATATACTTACTGGCATATTTACAATCTTCCAAATTTATAAAAGTTGTCAAAGCCTCTTGTGTCTTATCTTCTTCATTTGAGAAGTCTCTTTGTGCAGGAACTGCAGACCCTGATGCCTCTAGTGAAGGCGAGGAAGTAGCTGATGATGCCATAACTTCCTTGGTTCCTTAATATTAAAATGAAAGTCAGTGTATAGTTGACAAATCAAATCCCAAATAACTATGGATAGACTGGGCAATTAATAAACTAGTAGCAATATAAATAAAGAGATAAAAATGCTTTTAACTTGGTATTAGAAAAAAAACAAAACTAAAACACCAATCACCTGCTTAAAATTGGTTTCCCCCAAAGCCAGCGACACAGATAAGACTTGAAATCTCACGTCAACGTATATCCCTCGTTCTTTTGAACCAAATAGCTTCAATCAATACCCATTCATAAATCTTGTTCTGTTTATATATCTTTAACCATTCTCTCTCTTTTGTTCAAATTTAACTTCGACACATTCATCCAGCCATCTCTCTCACTCTCTTTAGCAAAATTCAATATGTCGTCCGTAGTGATACACTCTTAACTATGGGAAAGGTAGGCAGATAATTTGCCGCTGATCCAGTACCTCAAATAATTGTATATTAAGTTGGACTTGGATAGTCCAATGTTCCTCATATTTCGAAACAACCAGCAACCAGGCCATGGGATGAAACTGGTCCTGGCTCATGCTTGGCTATTTTGTCCCATTTCAATCTTTCTTTTCCACCAAGATGTCGACCTCCACTAAAACCAAAATAATAAACTCTCTCTAATTCCAGCGAAACTAATCAAAGTTGAAATAAAAAGGATGGGAACCTCAGATTACCAGCTTCTACCACCATCCCAATAACCCCCCCCAATCTAATACCGCCATCTTTAAATCAGAAATACTCTAAATATGGAAACCCGTCTCTTTTAGCTTCACCTTCACTTATCCCATATCCAAACCCAGAACCAACACTCCAAGCCACACCCCAAAACAATCACCAATCTCTAAAAAAATGCCCACAATCCCTTGATATAACCTCCCCAATCTTCTCCAAACTAGATTACCCATCCTTTACAAAGTGGTTTGTTCTTTTACATCACCTTCACCTTATTGGCCTTTTTATACACTACAAAAAGTATTGAATATTTTAGAATATCGACATATAACAAAGGAAGATGTTGCCTTTCAATGGTGAAGAAAGTGGGATAAATACAGTTAATTCAGGTCAAACCACTAGAATTTTGTAAATTTGTAGGTCTGTGTGTTGTATTTAATCGTGTTTTAAGTGGAAGTCCTCTTTTGTTGTGGAGTTTTTTGGTTTTAAGAGTATCAAATTTGGGTAAAAGCATCGCCATTCTGACAAGGAGGTATTAAATAAAAATAGAAATAAAAATAAATTAAGAAGGACAAGGTATATTGGCTTAGGGTTTGCTGGTAATTAGATTATAGATTATTGAATTCAATTACTGATGATGGACATTCCTAGATGGCTTTCGTTTTCTTTGATTAATTCAGGGTTGTGTATTTTAGGTGGGTTATGTGTTCCTCTTCTTTCAATGACCTTGAGGACAAAACAGAATACTAATACAAAATTGGTTAATTATGGGTTGTCTCTGAGTGCAGGTTCCATGATTACAACTGCTCTTTACAAGATGCTACCGCATATGGACGATAAAAATAGTGTTGAAGTTTTCGTTGGCCTCCTCTTTGGGATTCTTACTAGTTTATCTATTAACTATATAGTTCATGCATTCGCTAGTGAATCTTTATTACATTGTGCTCATTCTCATGATACAGAACATCATGATGACCACAGTGACCATGAGCATACAGAGGTATCTTATACTGGCAATGATAATGATCAAAGTTCTGACTCATTGGTAAACGATGAGGTTAGACCGCTTCTTTCGAAAAGGAATACTCAGAAGTCTACCTTAATAGATCTGATCACCAATACAGAGTCTTCGAATATGGGTAGTTGTGATTTGGGGTCCTGTGTGCCCATGGCAAAGAGCAAGAGCTTCTCCTGTGTCCCCGAGCCTGTTCAATCATCTGCTATCACTAGATCTGGTTCATGCTGTTCGAGGCCTACCACTGAGAATGCCACTACTAATTCTACTATAGGAAAAGGCCATGGTCATGGTGTATCTTGTTTAGAAAATGATGTCGGTTATGATTTGGAAAACCTATCTATTTATCGTGAACATTTCCTGTCTGGACGTAAATCAAATGCCGATTTAGAACAACATCCTCATATACACAATGACACAATTCATAATTCCGCAAGTTATCATTCCGATCATCAGTTTAACGACCATGTCAGTCGTGATCATCATCATCATCTAGAAACACCATTTTCAAAACTATTATCCATCGGTTTACAGACGGTCTTGGTATTGACGTTGCACAAGTTCCCAGAAGGTTTCATCATATATTACACCAACAGAGGAGATAAAAGCTCGTCACTAGGTCTTTCAATTTTTATAAGTTTAGCTATTCACAATTTTGTTGAAGGGTTCGCAATGACTTTGCCATTCTATGCAGCTTTACAATCTAAAACCATTCCGATTTTAATAACAACCGTATTAGGTGGGGGGTCCCAACCATTAGGTGCTCTGATAGGGTATTGGATCTTCAGAAACAAGGATAAAGATAGCAATGACCCTGAATCAGATTTGAGAATGCAATTTTTCTTAAGTTTAACAGCTGGTTTCCTACTGGTAATCGGATTACAAATGTTTCAAACAGGTATTGGTTTCAGTGATGGTCATCACCATCATGATGGTGAACAAGATGAAGAAGTCAAAGAAAACCATAGTTTAGGTACCACCTGTCTGAAGTGGTGTTGCATTGGTGTGGTATTAATTTTGGCAAGTGGTTTATTTGTCTAAACTACTACTCACAGAAGTACTTTCCTTATAGAGAATAAGCCAAAAATAAATGGGCTTTGATTTGGAACTTCTACATCATTTGTGGTCTCTTATATATCGACTTCAAATAATATATATATATTTATTTATTTAACCCTTGAAGTAAACATTCTATAATTTCATATATCATCTGTCAGGTCTTTCGTATGTGCATATCAGGAGACATCGAGTGATAATATCTATATGAAAAGAAAGCCATCTTTTCAAACAATAACAATACAATTACCATTCGAAAGTATCCCCTACCTGAAGCACTATTACCACTTCACATCCTTTTATCAAATTCATTGTCTGTTCAACCTGTCGTTATTAAGTACGCGATGAGTTGCAATGAAACTTTTTAGATGCTTTAAAAGGTGTATAATATCAAGTAACTTATAGAAGTAAAAGAGTTGTGGTATTTCGATAATAGTAACAAATAGAGTCCAACAATCCCGTATTGGTTTTATTATATTGGTGAACATTTTATCAGATAGTAGGATAACTATGGATGAGGATTTGTATGATGAATTTGGTAATTTAGTAGGAGAACAACTTGTTGATTCCGATGATGAAGATTTTGAAGTTGAAATTGAGAGTAACAAGATCCAAGAATTGGGTGATGAAGGAGAAGTTTTAGACTCTACCGAGTCTACATCTTTAATAGAACGTCAATTTGGCGATGAAGTGGAGATTCTAGTCGAGACAGAAGATATACAGGAAGCAAATGTGCCTTTAGTGGAGCCTTCTTTAGAAAGAACTAAAGCGGTTGAACATGCAATATTTAACAAACCTAAAGAGAAAATACCTAAATGCAATTACGATAGAGAATATTTGAAAGGAACGTTGAATATCCCTGAGAGAATAAAAAATGTGGTGATAATTGGTTCTTTACACTCTGGTAAAACTTCTTTATTGGATACTTTAATTTTAGATGAACATAAATTGCTGAATAACTCTAGTAAGAATATCAAATTAGGTTGGAAACCATTAAAATATACAGATAATTTAAAACAAGAGGTAGATAGAGGTTTATCTCTAAAGATAAATGGTTTTACAATGCTTGGAACAGATTTAAACGATAAATCGGTAGCATTGAATATACTTGATACGCCAGGCCATGTGAACTTTTTTGATGAAGTGGCAGTCGGTTTAGCAGTATCAGAATATGCAATTGTATGTATCGATGTTGTCGAAGGTATCACTTCTGTAGTTGGTCAATTGATCCAACAATGCCAAAATAGAGGACTAGAAATGATTTTTGTTTTAAACAAGATTGATAGATTAATTATAGAATTAAAACTACCTCCAATGGATGCATACTTGAAATTAAATCATATAGTAGGAGAAATTAACAGCTATACAAAGAAACCATACTCGCCCTCTATAAATAATATTGTATTTGCTTCAGCTAAATTAGGTTTTACATTTACAATTCGTGAATTCATTAAGTACTATTATTCAGAAAAGTTACCAACAAAAATTGTCGTAGAATTAGAAAAAAAGCTATGGGGAAATTATTACTATTCTGATGGAAAGATAAAAGAAGGGGTGCAAGATCAAACTAAATTCAATACATTTGTTGAGTTCATTTTGCTTCCAATTTACAAGATTTTTATTCATACACTTGCTAACGACCCATCAGTTTTATCGAAATTACTTAAATATCACTTTTCAATTAAATTAGATGAAAATGCTCTTAATTATGATTCTCAGCCATTATTAAGATATATCTGTAATTTGATATTCAAAAAGCAATCGGGTTTAATTCAGAGTATAGTTGAATTGCCTGATACAAATGAAGTCCTGGGCAAGAAGAAATCTAAACTCCTGAGAGGAGATATTCATGATGAAAATACAACTATTTTAGCCCATTGTATTAAGAATATGGATATTGATGGATTTGAATGGTCGATGTTAAGGATTTATAAAGGAAATTTAGAAGTTGGATCTAAGGTGCGTGTAATCGATTCGTCTAATTTGTCAGCGTCAGAGAATGAGGATGGTGAAATTTTTGAAGTGGATGCAGAAGAATTTCCCTTGATCGAGATAAGTGAGATTGGTCTTCTCTGCGGTAGATTTATCATCTCAGTTCAAAGTGCCTCTTGTGGTCAAATTGTTCTTGTTAAAGGAATATCAAGTTCTTTTGCCAAAACAGCAACTATATACAACGGATCTGGAACAAATATCCCTATTTTTAAAGAAATTGATTACATCAACGAACCAATCTTTAAAGTTATCATTGAGCCAATGAAGCCTTCAGAATTGTCGAAGTTGTTGGATGGTTTAAACAAGATTGGTAGAACTTATCCTGGTATTGTAATGAGAGTAGAAGAATCTGGCGAGCATGTATTGATTGGCTTTGGTGAATTATACTTAGACTGTTTCCTATCTGATCTAAGAAATAAATATTCTGGAATTGAAATCAAAGTATCAAATCCTATGACAGTTTTTTCAGAAAGTTGTTCTGGTGAATCACTTGCTGCCATACCAGTTCATTCATCGAGTAATAATGTTACAGTTAGTGTAAGTGCTAAACCACTAGAGTTGTCCTTACTTAAAGATTTGACTAAGAACAGAATTCCTTCAGATATATTTGAAGATCGTCAAAAACTTTCCAAACTGTTAAGAACAGATTACGATTGGGATTCCCTAGAGGCCAGAAATTTATGGTCATTTTATCACTGTAATGCTTTTGTCGATGATACGTTACCAGATGAGGTCGACAAAACTTTAGTTGAATCTTTCAGGCGACAAATCTGCCAAGGGTTTTATTGGGCTACAAGAGAAGGTCCACTTGCAGAGGAGCCAATTCATGGTGTTCAATTTAAATTGTTACAACTAAGTATTGATAATCAAGAAGATAGAACGGTAGGGACCCAGTTAATTCCATTACTTCGAAAAGCCTGCTATGTGGCATTATTAACTGCAGTACCAACATTTCTCGAACCCATTTATGAGGTTAATGTTATCGTACATAATCTACTGATACCAATTGTAGAGGAACTATTCAATAAGAGAAGAGGTGGAAGAATATACAGAATGAATAAAATTGTTGCGACACCATTCACAGAAATACGAGCTCAATTACCGGTCATTGAGTCTGTAGGGTTTGAGACCGATCTTAGATTGTCAACGGAGGGTAAAGCTATGTGTCAATTGCATTTCTGGAATAAAATATGGCGTAAAGTACCAGGAGATGTGATGGATGAGGATGCTCCTATTCCTAAATTAAGACCAGCTCCATACAACAGTCTAAGTCGTGATTTCGTAATGAAGACCAGAAGAAGGAAAGGTATATCTAATGCAGGGTTTATGTCCAACGACGGACCAACATTAGAGAAATTTATTGACGCAGATTTATTTGAACAACTAAAAGAAAATGACCTGGTTTAAATTAGTACTGAGTTTATAGACATTAGAATATATATAGTTAGTAAATCATTAAAATCATTTGCATAGTTACCAAGATCATTACATTCATAGCTATTAAAGTTTGGTGTAAGAAATGTGTTGACAAAAGTAATAAATATCGGCAAACCTTCAGTGCGTTCATTGTTTATAAATTGAATAGATATAAGAATAGAAGTGATAAGAATGAAATAAGGTATCTAGCCTAAAGAAACAGTTTAGAGTCAGAAGCATATAATTTTACTTTGTCCCCCATACTATTGGTTAGTACGAAATAAAGAAAAATGTAATTCCTTATAATGGGATGATTTTCTAATTACTAGGATAAATTAATCACACCTTGATATTATTTAGATCTTGATTGCCAGGTCAAGAATGTATGTAATGATTGCTGTCATGGGTTCGATAGCATTGCCATTGACATCGTTATAAATCTGATAGACATAGTGAACACATTTTGATAGCGAGATTAATGAATTCTTACCAAGGTAGGGTAATTTGCTTTTGAGTTCTATCAGCATACAAAACGAGAAAAACCATACATAGTGGAAAATTTTCAATGAGCGATGAGATGCGATGAGCTACTACTTTAAATCGATCAGTAAACCAGTAGAACAATTGATTATTAGTTATAGAAAGAAGTATATCTTTATATTAATTAGATTTTGATTGATTTTGATTGATTTTAGTTTATCATTGGGTAGAGACTGAGGAACCAGTAGATTTTTTCGAGATGGCTAAGGGATTTAAATTGAAGGAGCTGTTGGCTCACCAAAAAGACCAAGAGAAAATGGACAAAGCTGAAAAGGTCAAGAAAAGCAAGCAAGCTAAGCAAATGGAAAGTGAAGAACCAACCGTTGTCACTGCTGATGACGTTGTAGCAGCTGATGCAGCTGATGCAAATATTGAATCTGAAAGTAACGGTGCTGAAGAAGAATATAAGAGTCAAGCTCTATCGAAGAAAGATAAGAGAAAGTTAAAGAAACAGCAAATGAAGGAAGAACAAGAACAAAATGAAGAAGATGAAGAAGAAGAAACATTAGATTTGAACCGTTTGGCTGAAAGTGCTTCTGAATCAGATGACAGTGAAGATGAAGATGAAGATGAAGATGAAGATGAAGAAATAGAAAAAGAAGACAACGACGAGGAAGAAGAAGAAGAAGCAGAAGCAGAAGCAGAAGATGTTCCATTATCTGATGTTGAGTTTGATTCAGATGCTGATATTGTTCCACACCAAAAGCTAACCATCAACAACACTAGAGCTATTAAGGACTCTTTAGAACGTATCCAATTGCCGTGGAAAAAACATTCTTTCCAAGAACATCAAAGTATTACCTCTGAAGCAAATGCCGATGAAGGTATTAAGGATATTTATGATGATACCGAAAGAGAATTAGCATTTTATAAACAATCCTTGAACGCAGTTTTGGAAGCTCGTGATCATTTGAAAAGATTAAAAGTACCATTCAAAAGACCACTTGATTATTTCGCTGAAATGGTCAAGAGTGATGAACATATGGATAAGATCAAAGGTAAATTAGTACAAGAAGCTAGTGAAAAGAAGGCTCGTGAAGATGCCAGAAAACAAAGACAATTGAAGAAGTTCGGTAAGCAAGTTCAAGTTGCCACTTTACAAAAACGTCAAGCTGAAAAGAGAGAGACTTTGGATAAGATTAAATCATTGAAAAAGAAGAGAAAGCACAATGAAATCTCCAATGATGACTTTGATGTCGGTGTTGAAGAAGCTGCTGCAGTCGAGAAGAAGGGTCCTAACGCCAAGAGAGCTGCTAAAAACAGCAAGTATGGTCAAGGTGGTATGAAGAGATTCAAAAGAAAGAACGATGCTGACTCCTCAATGGATGTCACTGGTTTCTCACAAAGAAAAATGAAAGGCAAGCCATCTAGACCAGGAAAGAGCAAGCGTTCAAGAAGACATTAATCTAGAAATAAAATAAAATTAATCCATCTATTTTCCTAATATTTTGAATAGCAATATGAAATAAAATAATTTCTTAAGTTTTATTTCACCCTCTTTTGATATTTGACCCAGTCATTCCCATATTTTACATAATTCTCTTTCGTTATCATCATTAAGAATACGATTACCAGAATACAAAACTAGAAAAAAGGAAGGATAATGTCAATATTAAGAACCTGTAGCAATGGAGTACATAATATATAGACGGTACAACATATATGTATAATAAACAATCATATCATCTTATCAATGGTGTCAGTAAAGTATTTGCTCTTGCAACAATCTTCTTAATGAATCTGTTCGAAAAAGAGAGCGAGATAGAAGCAACTGCAAATGAGGGAAGTAGGAAGTTCCTAAACAATCCGTTTTAGTTGATGGTCCAATTAGCACTACAGTCAATAGGTATTTGAGATGTTCTTTTAACCTTGCTTTTAGCAAGTTCCCAAAGGTTTACCGTTATTATGGTCACCTATTTATGGTTATCTACGTATTATATGATATCAAGATCCTGTAGTCACGTGTAAATTGGGGGAGTCTCACCCGCAAGAGATGAGATGATTCAGTTAAATGGTTAAAAGAAGTTGATACTGAAACAAGAACTATGATTAAAGGTATATCAATATAACATACCCTTTTAAATTAATTATTCTGACTTGTCATTCTTAGTTTCTAGTTGAATGTGCATAGTTGCTTATTATATTGAGTTTATTTGGACTGGGAATTATAAAATTGTAGTGTTAAAGATAAACGGCTGAACTTTTGCTATGTCCAATTCTTCATTGGTTTTACGACAAGAGCAGGTAATTGGGAAAAGAAATGGAGGTTATGAATCTATTGGGAGGTTTGATGGTGATTCATCTAGTAATGATGTTAGTGATGAAATAGGAGATAATTTGGGGAAAAGAGATGATAGTTTTGATACTCTTTATTTTAGACCTAAAAGGGTTTATCAATTAGACCAAGAAGCCCCTTCAAGATCAACTTTAGTCAGAGCTTATTCTGGTAATGAGATGGCTAATTTTGATCCAGCTACTGGAGTTAGACTTTATGATGATTTCAAACATAGGCCAATCCACCTTATAAACAGTGGGAATGGAGAAGGCAATAATTCAAGCAACCCTTTGCCAGATAATTTTAGAATTCGTAGACATACGATAAATACACCAGCAGGAATAATAAACGATTCCGAGGACGATTCAAAGATTGTAGATCAAGGTTTGAATGATGAATGTATTCCCGGTTTGGATTTCAGGGATGTAGCTATAAGATGGGAAAATGATAATTCTTCTGTGCCATCCAGAAATGAAAGTTTGATATTTAAAAATACAAATAATAAGAATGAGTTGCTGGCAGGCTCAAAAAATAACAGTGGGATTCTTCAAAGGAAGAATGAATCTGGATTGCAAATTTCAACTGAGAGACTGGAAGAACAGGATTATGAAGTTCCGATCTCTAGATTTACGACTTGGAGTACAGATGATAATGTTACTAGTAGTATACCAAGCCCTAATGATTCAATGATATTTACATCATCTCATGCTCAGGTTCAACCAATTCCTTTGCCAAATGCAGCCACGAAAAACCATGTTGAATTCTCACCCATTGAATTAGATAAAGGGTTGGAATTTCAAGCTCGTAAAAACAATATGATTAAGAACAATGAAGATTTATCTCATAGTTCTAATGATAGAATTGATTCCAATTTGAGTAAATATAGTAGATCATTTGCTTCGTTTGCAGCAGGAAGAAGACGTTCATCCATACCTGATTCGTATGAATCAGCTTCATCTTCGTTGTCGTTAATGCCAAATAATACAATATCTCTGTTCTCGGAATTAAAAATAGCGCCAGAAGAGGTACCAGAGCTAATTAAGAGGCTACCGAAGGATTTCTTAACTATGCCATATTCACAAAGGAAAAAAGTTTTATTAGATATTTCACCAGATAAAAATTATAAACTAATGATGATTTTAATTAAAAAGTTCATGTTGACAACATCTAAAAGCAATGCTTCAATACACAGAAATTCTCTCAAATCTGGCCATGGTTCGGTCGCTTCGCAATTCCTTACCTCATTCTCCCCTTCTCTACAATCAACCGCTAGTATTAGTAGTTTCAAACCTGATGATAAGGGAATGAAAATTTTAGGACATTCATTAGGGAAGATAATTGGATTTGGTGCTTGGGGAATGATAAGAGAATGCTATGACCTACAATCTGGTGATTGTAGGGCAATTAAAATCGTTAGATTTAGGAATAATGAAAGGGTAAAAAAGCAAGTTATAAGAGAGGTTATGGTCTGGAAAGAATTAAAACATAAATGCATTCTTCCATTAATTCAGTGGACTTTAGACAATGATTATGCGATGTACTGTTTGACAGAAAGAATTCACGATGGTACCCTATATGATTTAGTGATAACATGGGACGAATATGTTAATACTAAGATTAAGATAAAGGATAGATGCAATACCACAATGAAGCTTGCTTTACAAATTATTTCGGGATTGAAATACATGCATTCAAAATCGATAGTACATGGTGATATTAAGCTTGAAAATTGTCTTCTAGAGAAGTCGACTTCTGATCCCGATAGCTGGAAGGTATATATCTGTGATTTTGGAATGAGTTGTTACTATGGAGAAAAAGGTATAGAAAAAGCAAGTAATGATAAATCATATAAAGAATTCGGAGAAAATGTTTTCAAAGATTGTATACTCGAAAATTTAAAATTCACTTCCAAAGATAGACGATCAGATAAACACTCTGGTTCTCTTGATGAAACTTTAGTTACTGCCCATAAGCTAGATAACCAAGAAAGTCCGAAAGCAAAAGGTTTAAACGCTGAAAAAGTCACAACTAGTAGTAAAGTGAAAAAATCAAAAAAAATGAAAAGTCATTTAACTACAGCTGTTAATCCCATCCCAAAATCACATGCTTCATCGTTCTCGAGCTCTGAATTATCTAATTCTAGTTCTCCAATATTGCAAAGAATTTCCTCACCATTATTCGGCGGTCAATTGAGCCCAAAGTTTGAAAAACTTGAAAGAAACAAAACGAATATTGGAGCTATAGGTCCAGATCCACATTCTCACATAGGTTCTTTACCATATGCTGCCCCTGAATTGTTGCTACCTTCACCACCTCCATTAGCACCTCCCGCTGATATTTGGGCTTTCGGTGTAATGATTTATACAATGTTAATTGGTCGATTACCATTTAAGCATGAGTATGAACCAAGACTAAGGGCCATGATATCTTCGGGAAAATTTGACAAGATACCTTTGAAGCAAATTTGTAAAACTGGGAACATTGATATAGAGACACCTTATTGTCCGGAAGGCATGGAGAATATGACCTGCTTTAAGGAGCTCTATGAATCTATTGTGGGTTCCATGACACTTAACGTCGATAAACGTTGGACCATCGATATGATTGAATCTGCATTATCTCATGATGTCGGTAAGGACTGATCTCATCCTTAGGTATAACTTATACCTTTTGCAACATTTAAAATAAAAAGGTGTATTATTATGATATATTTCTTTAACAGAAATTGTATCGAGTGTATTTTTTATTTCATAAACTTTTTTTATACCAAAAATAAATTTAAATTAACACATTTAGCAAAATATGTCTTTCGATGCATTTATTTGGAAGTACTGGAAATAAATACAATAATATTCTAAATAATTAAGTAATTACTTTTACGTGCAAAAAATATAAAAATGTAAAATTATATGTATACCTAGTTTCTAAATATACATGAGGATTGGTATCCCTAACTTGAAATAGTCTTGTAATCAATACAACATCTAGTGTTCTTCATCCATGGAGATTGCAATAATTGATCTATTGTTATTCTCTTATCCGGGTTAGGTTGGAAGATTTTATATAACGAAATTTTTCTGAGTCTATTAATTTCATGGTTAACGTGTCTCATTTCTTCAAATACGTAAAATTCTTTATTGGAAGATATTTCCTCATAAAATGCTTTATATAGTGGATCTTTTTCTTTTACAGCCAATTTCCATAAATAATGGCCTAATACCATAGAGCAATATACAACACCACAACTCCAGCAATCTACCAATCTTGGATCATAATTAAAATCATGAATAAACTCCTCAGGTGCAACGTAAGGTTCGGAACCAACGGCACCAGTTTGGAAGTGGACATTTTTTTCCCATGCAGTTTGGAACACACAACTTGTACCAAAATCACAAATCTTCAATAAACCATTTGGATGGAACAGAATGTTTTCTGGTTTTAAATCGCAATGTGCTACACCATGTGAATGCATATATTGTACACCTGTCAACAATTGTTTCATAAAACAGTCAGCTTCTAATGGATGCAGAGCAGTTCCATTTTTTGTCTTCCTGGTTAATATATTATATAAATCACCGGATGGACAAAATTCCAAAACTTCAATAAAGGAGCCGCTACTAATTTCTAATAAATCAAGTACTCTGATAATATTTGGAGAGTATTTGCTACCACCTTTCTTTTCCGAATGATTTAATGAATGTCCTATTATGAATTCAGAAGTTATTCTTGTACTAAATTTTTCTTTTGGTTCACTTGATTTTGGCTTTAACTCTTTAACGGCAAAGAACATCTTTTGACCATTACAGTATGTCTGTAAGTACTGCGGATCACGTTCTGTAGCATTTCTTGAAAATAATCTAACGACACCATAAGCACCATGCCCAAGAACAACACCCATCGATTTACCATATAGTTGAGTAAAAGTCATTGCATCAGGGTCCTTTTCCTTTAACATGTGAGATGACTTTTTTCCAGATTTACATAATATTGCATCGTTAATTCTTTCAGAAAGAGTATTAATTAGTTTTAATTCCTCGGCTCCGATTGCTGCACAAGGATTGACCATTCTCTCCGATAAATCGTCAGGAATTGAATCTGAATCTGAACCACCAGTACCAGCTGTTGAACTGCTTATATTTCTCTTCCTATTGTACACAGCCATATTCTTAATGGAAGGTAATAATGACACTGCATTATCCAAATTTTCCAATGGACTATTGTCTACTCCTGAATCCTCCTTATGGCTCTTAAAAATAGAAGTTAACGAAAACATTGACTTTTGTTTGTTCAATTCGTTACTATCATGGTCATTTGCCGCATCAGCTTGTGCACTCTTCACGATTGGCATGATCTTCAGATTATGAACATGCATACCATTTTCAAATACTTTAAAGTTATCCACTTGCAAAATACACTTGGATTCCTGTTCTATGTGTTTGAGGGACGATATAGATATTGATTCAGAATATGGACGACCTCTATGAATATTGTTAACTGTTGGGCTTTCATTTTGAGGGGTTGAATGAATTCTTGATAATGAATTGGATCTAATTTCATATTCCGATGATTCAAAATTCTTATCCTTCCTACCCCTAAAAGCAGAAGTCGAATTATTCCTCTTTACAGGTTTTGATTTATCTTTTGTATCTAGGGCATTATCGATTGTATAATCTTGAGCCCTGTCTTGTTCTGATAGCCTTAGTTGTGCAATGGGTATATCATCCGCACTTCCATTTCCAGATCCATAATTCTTTTCTTTTTGGTCATTGGCTGAAGTAACAGAAGATGTTGCTGAAGTTATTGAACTTCTATCATTCGTAGAGCTACTCTGTCTTGGTGAACTTAGAACACTTTTAATATTTTGTGGAACAATATTCATTGCCATTTTAGGAGTTTGAATTATTGGGCTCTTTGCAGACTTCACCTGTGGTTGGTCATCAGCTGGACGAACATCTGTGTTGATACTTAGATTACTAACATTGTTGACATTCACAGGAGGAGCTCCACGAGAAGAACTCAATTCAGCTCTTTTGGTATCAACCAATTTTTTCAAATTATCACTGTTTCCTAAAGGTGGTGAAGATTCATGAGGTGAAACTGTGGGCGTACTATTCTGAACACTTGAAGGTTTGAATAAACTTTTAATAGATCCTGAAATCGATCTCGCCCTTGAAATAGGAGATGTTGGAGGGGAAGTATGAGTGCTTTTCTGTTCTACAGTACCCATGTTAATGATGGAAATCTTTCCTTAAAGTGCAATATAAATTATGAATAATGAAATAAAATAAAGTAAAATAAAATAAAGTAAAATAAAATAAAATAAAAACCCAACTGGGGGATTGCCTTCGTGCAATTTATTTTTTTTGCCTTCAAAAATCCTATCGTGATCCCTTTTATAATAAAAGTTCTCTTTCTCTCCTTCTTCAATGGAGTATCACGACGTCAAATAAAAAATAGAACGAGATATGTATACCTTCAAATCCTTTGGAAAGATAACTTTTTATCTAAGCTCGGTATAATCAAAACTCCTAACCTAAGATTTCCTTTGTCAAAGACCAAATTTTCTTCACCTACTCTCTGTCTCTGTTCTTCCAGATTCTTCTACCTTCTAACTAAATAAATCAAAAACACCAAATTCAACTGATAAATATCTTCTTGTTGATCTAGAACGTAATTCCACTATTCTCAATCCTCCAGCCAATCAATTTATAGGTTCTATCCACTTTTAAACTTGGCTGATTCTTCAATCCTTATAAAGTTTCATCATTATAATCATTCAATCAGTTTTTTCCTTGATGTGGCAGGTCGAAATTGGTAAAAATATATAGGTATGTAGTCACGTGATTATAGTGATTAGTAATTTCGAGATTTTGGATGGTAGGTAGTGTTAAGATCAGACCAATGGATCATGTTTTAATGACAGCCAGAGTATATAAAGTGTTGATTATGGTTCAATTATTTGGCATTTGTTTATCCTGTTATTTGAATTATGAGTTATTCATTTATTCTGATCTGGATTGGTGTCTCTAAGGGGTAATCTACCAGCAAAAAGTTATGGAGAGAGCTTTCAAATGGTTCGATAAAGACAAGCAAGCAAGGTACGATTAATGACGTATGGGACAGGTAGCGATGTGTTTAGATGTATATAATATTATATGTAGTAGTGTGTTATATTAGATGCTAATTGAGGTATGAGTCTGGTACCCTTTGTTGCGTGGGTGTCGCGTTTGTTTGTTGTTTGTTTGTTTGTTTCCACTTATGTCTTTTTTGCCCTGTTTCTCTTTAATCTTGGATATCCTCTGTGGGGGTTAATGCAAATGTCAGTATAACTGATAGGCAACCACACATCAATGGTATGTACATGAAAAGTTCTGGTTTGGTAGACACTGTATAGCCATATATTTGTAGTAGTAATGGTGACACAGATAGCATAATGAATGAACTAATTAATGCCATGCCTCCAAAACATTCTCCGACGTTTGCTTTAGGACAATACTTTATGATGGTACCAACTAGGGTAGGCGAGCTGACAGCACTCAATGCTTGACATATGGCAAAAAGTACCATCGATATGTAGTAATCTTTTAACCATAGTAAAAAAAATATGCTCAGAGTGACTGTAATCAGCGATGTCCTTATGTTGATTATATCGATTTGATCTATCGAACTGGTAGAGGTCTTGTATCTTTTTTTCAGTAGGTGGATAGCCAATGGTGCTAGTGCTAATAATATAATTGCTCTTCCTATACCAGATATTGAAATAAAGTAACCTAGTTCAACAGCTGTCCACTCAAATTTAAAAGTCGCATATAAAACTACTGATGGCATGATTGCCACTGTAGAACATACAAACAGGATGTCTATTGCAATTAATAGAATAACTGTATATCTAGGCTTTAAAGAGTTATCATGCTCCCTTGGTTTGATCCAAAGAGATTTTAAGGGTGTGAATATATCAACGATGTAGAACGATGTTAGTAGAACATATTTCATTATACGTTTGGCTAATCCCTTGGTCTCGCCAATGATACTATCAAGCTTTTCTTCTATTTTCTTGTTTTTCTCTTCATATGCAACTTTAGCCTTTTCCATAGCTTCAGAATGCCTTGGTTCAGCCATCACTGTGCATGATAGAACAATGAACAAAACCAAAAGGCAGAGTGACATGTAAACAGGTAAATAATAATTTCCTCCGCTGAATTTCACAATTATCGAACTTAAAATTGGGCCCAATCCCATTGATCCATACAAAGTACTCATCATCAAACTAATAGACATCGTTCTGTACTCTGGTTCTGCGACATCAGTGATATAACTGTTGCTATTGGACACAATTGCAAAAATACCACCACCTAACGATTGTACCACCTCTGGAGCAATTAACAAAGTTTTGCTATATGGAGTTGATGGTAATACAGTGTATATCTGAATGATAGTACCGATTAGCTTAATAATACCCACAAATGCAAATACTCGCACTCTTCCAATTCTATCAGAGAGAGCTCCCCATTTGCCTGAAAGTAAAGTATTAAGTATACCAGATATTATGATTGTCAGTGAAGTGATCTCTGATGTAATTCTTTGAACTTCTTGTTTATCACAGTTGGCTATCTTTGCTTCTCTTGAAATATCTTCGTCTCCATAATTAATCCCTTCACACACTTTAGAAATGGTAAGTGAAATCATTGGCGTTCTAATCATCATATCAGATATACAAATTAAGGATAGCATTGCACATATAAGAAGTATACTTGGTTTCTGATACCATGATAAATCAATGTGTTTCAGCCTCACCTCTCTCAACCATCTTACCTCATCTGATTCACCTTCCTGAGGTTCCAACAGACTGTCTAAAACATTAATACCAGTTTCTTCAATGATTAAATCAGTTTCCTCTTCTGACATTGCTCGATATCCAGTCGAACTTATCGTTGTCAAAGTGCCTCCATAATGGTTGTCTCCATTGCTTAGTAATGGTTCAGAGCTCATCTCTCACTTTATATATATAACTGAATGTATATTAAAGATAGAAAGTAACCCAAACAATGCCCAACTAACTTGGCTTATAAATTATCAAATACTGATCTATGCTATGCCTCTCTTACCAAAACTACAATGCTTCATAGCAATCGAAGAAGACAACCTTTTGCTATTTATTACTACCTTATAAAGCAAAGCCCACTTTTTCAATATGCTTGCCTAGTGCATATTGAAAATTGCAACTAAACTATCAAGCCAAGAAATAAAATGAGCAACTTACAGAGCTGAATACATCCAAATTTATAAGTTAACTATTCAGAATATTTACTTGTGTTGTGACCTTTCATTTATGTCAACAAAAGAATTAGTTTACTGTTCTTATCTATCAATAATCACTTGTTGCAACAACAACCTTAAGACATCTCGTTTCTACTAATTATTATAGGAACAAGTCCTTTTAAAAGGGCAGCCAACTTCAACAAGGCTGGTGGATATATCAAGGACTATGCAGGGAATTCCAGATTATTGTTATCATATCATTATGTAAATTATCCAATAACTTGACTATCTATTTGTATATAATTACTTATTTTACTCTATTGTGTATTAATTGATATCAATCAATTTTAGTAGTGTCTTAATTGTTGATTTATGATTAATAGAAATTGTAATATTTAGAACTCATTGGGTCTTTTTTGATTCATTGATGGATTTTTTGATTGTAACATTTCTTAGTACTACATGGCTTACAACTTCTAGTATTAACATGAATAATGATGATAAGATTGCTAGACAGTAATTTGAAATAGTCATACCTATGTCCAACCACGAACCTTCAGTTTTTAGTAGATAAAAGAAATTTAATGAAAGGATATCACTTGTCGAAATAATTAATGAGGAAATTGCATAGTCCTTGATTTCTAGTTTTAAATTTAATATACCTAGACCAGTTGATAAAACAACATAAGGTATCAATAGCTTTAGCATCAATAAGGCACCCATTGGGAATGGATCAAAAACAGGCATTAATCTATAAACTGAATCCAATGAAAATGATGAAATCGATGCAACATTACCTGTACCAAAAAATGCAATTTGCAACAAGAAAAATCCAATAATTGACACTCTAAGTAACTGTAACCAATTATCGCTAGTCTTTTGGGATTTTAAAGTAGATTCAATTTCGATCCATTGTACAATATAACCAGTGAATAAGAAGTAAAACATGGATTCAAAAGAAATTGTTAATATTATGAATGTTGGTGCAAAAGTCAAATATATCAATAATAATCTCACTTTGTAATCATTGTTCGGTTTCATATAATGCAACATTGGCATGACTAAAAGTGAAATAAATAGTATTGCCCATCCACCGATTTGAGCGTCTCTAGGTAAACCTTGTCTTTTTTGTAATGAAACAACTGACTTGTTAGTTATAGCTAACATTAGTGGGATCAATGCAATTTGAATAGAAAACAATGAGATTGAAAATGGATTCAAAGATCTCTTAACTTTCCATAAACTATAAATGGCACTAACAAATATTAATACAGAGGCCACATTGATTTGCTCTATACTTTCAATTTTAACAGCGTCAAACAGAGTGAAAACGGAAATTAAAGAACTAGTCGTTATCCACATTAAGTTCGTCGTTATGCTAGTAATACCACATAGAATTGGGTAAAATGCAAAACATAAAAATACAACCGTAAAGATCCAGCGATGTAAGAAACCGTTAACGATACATTCAAACACGCAAATGATTGAGAGTAAGAATAAACCTCTCTCTGAGATGATGTTCCTTTGAAAAAGTCTTTGATACCAGATTTTAGATACGTATTATTTGTTATTATTTGACTCCAAAAGAACAATGGGAATAATAAGTACATATAAAAGTTTACTGGAGAACGTTGAAAGTACAATATCCAGTTAAGCAAAGCGCCAATAAAAATAAAACTTGCTAGGTTGATTTTTGATGGCAGCATTCTTTCATCAGATTTGTTTAGAATGAAAATCTTTAAAAACTTGATGAATGCATAGGTAATCCAACCAATAAATCCGAATGTGACGATGGTTCTAATAAATCTCCAATTATATGTAGTCAAGTAGTGAAGACCATCTAATGTAACAGACATTAATTCCTCAGTCAACTTGATGGCTCTACTTTCCAGATTTAATTCACCTTGATTAATTTTTTCGATTAATTCATTGATTTCATTTAGGTATTCTTGATGTGATTTTTCAGTAAATTTATAATATTCTTTGTAAACAAATTGAGAAGCAATAACTTCAGCTTCTTTAACAATGTATTGTTCTAAAATACTTCTAGCGTTATTAAAAAGAGCATATAGCTTTTGAGTTTCCTTACCATCGATATATGCAATAGGCAATTCACCGACAGAATTTGAAGGATAGTTAACACCTATTAGGTAAGACATTAATGACGCTATATCTGCTTGTTTGACATCATTTCTCTTGATATCTGCTAAATTCCAGCCCTCTGTATAATTATCGTAAATTGGGTATTCATTTCTCACAGGTTTGTTGACACCAGCACCCCATGCAACCAACGGAGTTCTAGTGTTGTTAGGGTGACCATCACCATGGGATCCAAAGGCACTCATACCATGGTCAGCAGTGAAAACAAACGCCGTTTCATCATCACCAAAAAATTCTCTGACTTTGTCAACTAAAACTGAAACTTGATTGTCTATGTATTTGACATTATCATAGTACTCCGCAGAATAAGGTCTGTAAGAATGGCCAGCCGTATCACAACCCAGCAGATGTAGAAAGAATACATTACCATCTTGTCTAATCTCTGCATTTAAAGTATTGTTTGTAGTTGAGTTTTTAAATAACGTGTCTAGGTGATTGAAAACAAAAGCATCCAGCTCAATTGATGATTGAGTGAAATCTTCAAATTCATGGCCGTACATCCAAGCATCAACTCTGCTAGGATCGGAGGCACCATCTTTAAACATTGGTAAAATATCAGGAGAACCAAAGGAATATGTATGAACAGATTGGTTGAAGAAACTATCGAAATCCACTGGGTTTTCTTTCCAACCTTTAGTGACTGCACTAACATCTTCGTAAAACCCAGCAATCATAGCAACATGACCAGGTCTTGATTCGGTTGGCATTCTAGTATGGGAGATACCATAAGTACCATTGTTCAAAACCAACGATCTGATAAAAGGTGCCAAATATTCAGTCTTTCCTGTAACAGGATGTGTGATTTTATCAAAAGTAGTGTCTGCACGTAAACCATCACCAACAACTAAAAACAATCTCTTAGCAGGAGGTGTATCTGTACTACGATATTGATCCATACCATGTACCAAAGGTGATACAAAGTAAATATCAAAGATGGACCATAAGTAGAACAGATGGAACAAAATACCTATTATAATAAAAGTGGATCTTGGAGAATTCCACATCTTCACAGAATTACCTATTATAATATTAATTGGTGTACACAGATATACACACAAAGACACAATGTAACAGTAATAGATATCCTAGATCTCAAATACTTAATCACTTTATATAACTTGAAAACATTGAATAAGATCAAAGGTTTCATAGTTTTTAACATAACCTCTATAATATCCAATTTTTTTTTCTTTTGTACTGATCTTGATACGCGTCAATTTTGATGTAATTAATAACGCGTCAGTAAGAGTCGTAGCCAACTATGAGTTAAATCAATGATTGGTATGATGTAAATGAGATATTATGATGATTGTCTAAAGAAGTCTTATATATTACTTATTTATTTATCTCCTGACAGGATGCTATAGTGATTCTTATTATTAAGAGGTTAATATTGAATCGATTTGAAAAGTTCTGTGTATCTTTGACCAGCATTAAATTGAAGTTCGTTTAGTTCTAGTAATTGTTTCGATAAGTGAACGTCAAATGATTTAGTAGCAAGGATTAATGAATGATATTCTGGGACTGTCATCATATCGCTTAAATCTTTATCTACACTGATACGATTTTTTAAAACCTTTAATATGTATTCTTTAGTTCTATTGCAGTCCTCATTGAAATGGTTGAATCGTGTTTTCAATGAAACTTCTTCTTCTTTTGATGTAACCGCATCAGGGAAATGCATCATTTCAGGTATAATGATATTATCATTTTCTCTAGTTTCAGGTCTTCCTCTTAGATTAAAATCTGATCGATGATTCTCCATTGTCCCTGTTGAACTTTCAAAGACACTTGGTATTTCTCCAAATGGTCCCTCAGAATTCTCTTGTCTCGGTAATCTCTCTGTGAATCTGTAGTTTTGATCATTAAATGTATAAGTTGATTGTGACGTTTTTTGCCTTTTGGTATATGGTATCGAGTACAAACTATGCTTAATGCTACTCATGTCAAGTGGATCATTTATCATCAATCTATCCATCTCATTAATAAAAACATTTTGCATATTTGCCCTTCTGACTCTTGAATTTGATTCTACAAAATCATATTCACAATCTAAGGATAGATCTTCCAATTCAAACGTTCTTGGATCACTGCTTGGTTTTATATTTTCTATTCCAAAATCATCTTGAATATTACTATTCCCAAATTGTGATATAATATCTTTTAAAGGATCCCAATCATTTTGGAGGTCTGGATTAGATTGAGTGGCCTCTGGATTTCTCATTCGAATACTGCCCTGTGTAAATTTTACTTTATTCCTTTTTCGTTGATAATTTGTATGTGAATAAGTATTTTGGTCCTTAGAGGTACGATCTTTAGCTTTCTTAATATTTCTCCTTTTATTGTCATTCTCTGTATCTAAACTATTGTCTAATGTGTGAAATCTATCCTTTCTAGGATTTTTATTATTTTTGTTACCTTTAGCGTTACGTTGTAGATTTTCGGAAGTATTTGTAGTTTCTTGGCTACCTTGTTGTTCTTTAGAATTCTTCGATGTATTGCGGCCCTTTTGTTTATCTTTCTTCATTTTACTACCTTCATTGAAATCTAATCCAAATCCATACGGTTGTTGTTCATAAGGTTTATTCTTTCTAGTAACCTTGGATTGAGTAGGTACACCATCATTCTTCTTGGAGTTTTTGCTAGCATCTTGCTGATTCAGATTATTGCTCTGATTCTGCTTCTTAGTATGCTCTTTATAACCTAATGGAGTATAATTGGATAATCCCTTTCTCTTTAATATAGCATCGTATTCTTGCTTACTAGAAATATCAGTCAAAATTGAATGAGCTTGGACAACAACCTTGAATAATTCTTCAAAATCATTGGATTTGGACTTATCAGGATGGAGCTTACGGGCTAGTCTTAAATAAGACTTATGGATATCCTTCTTATTAGCTGTTGTAGGTAATCCTAAGACAGAGTAATATGTGGTTTCATCAATTTTCATTGTGATAGCTCATAAGAGGAACTCTACTCACGCTCACAGTAATATGTGGCTTATTTTAATTGTAAATACTTATTACAACACCAATATTACCTAAGTGATACAGATGAACATATATTTAATACTTTTCTCTTTTAATGTATATAAATTATTGCTTTAACCAATAGATTTTTAACATCTTTTATTGGCCTTGTAGTACATTGAATCAAATAATTTTTCAATATTGATCTGGGACAATTTGATGCCCCGATGAACTTAATAAAGGATGATGAAAGTGCCATTAATGATATCGAAAAGAAAAAGTGAATTTCTACCATTTGATGAATTAATTAAGAATCTATAAACTCTACATGGTTGGATATTGTTGAAACTGTGTTGATAGGATTAATATGTGAATTTTAAAGGTCAAATTTAGTTGGAAGCGATTAGAAATGACAAAATGAGTCTTGAAGAGTTAAATATTCCATAGCAAATAAGTGATTTCTAGAATGCTTGTTTCTTGTCAAGTAAAAATGAATAAATTTAACCTGTCAGTTTAATTTCTATGTCCAATTTTTTTGATTGATCAATTATTCGATTAAATCTTACCTACGGAAAGGAATTGAATTCAGTACTTGGATGACTTTAAATAAAATTACAGTAAGAATACTGAGTAGTTGGTATGGTTTTATTAAAGAATCAACAACTTTTTGGTGTACCAATTTTCTATATTTAATATACTTACTAAAGATCTGTTTTAATTAAAAAACAAAAAATAAACTCCGATACGGGGAGTCGAACCCCGGTCTCCACGGTGAAAGCGTGATGTGATAGCCGTTACACTATATCGGAATAGTAATTGTTAAAAACTTTTGAAAACACTACTAATATAAATAAGAAAATAACTCTTGAGAATTTATTGAAACGTTTCTAGAACGGTAAAATTACATCAACATTGTCAGAATGGCAAGAGCCTTCAGCTTTGATGAGAGGAGTGTAGAGAATCATGTTGTGGTTTTTCTACCGAATCATTCATAGTAATAGATTCTTTATTTATTTCCAAGGACATTCTTAATAAGTTGATATTGATCCGGTGTATTAAAGTATATAATATACACATGGGAATATAATTAACATGACAAGTGTCGATTAAGATCTTGTCATTTCTTATATAAAGTGTTGGAAAAGTTTTAACGTCAGAAATAACACGTTCGTGTAAAGTAACATTTCTTTATCCTATATGAATAATGTCGTAATACGTATATATCACGTGTTACCTCATAATTCTGACAAGGAGGCATACGGTAAATAGGCAGCTTGACCTATTACAGAGGTCAGTGAGTGGTAATTCGTTCATCCTCTTGTAACAGAGTAGTCTATATAACATAAATAGTTTTATACATTGGAACTGAAAATTTGTTCGTTTAATATATGAGAAAAATCGATACATTCATCTTTGTCAGAAATTATGAGATGACGTAAAGTCATACTCATTAATTCAATATTAATAAGGGTGAAGAATTATATGAAACATCATTATTAATAAGGGATAAAGAAATGTTTATAATACGAAAGTATTTGCTTCTGACGTGTCAATAATATCTAAACATTGTATATAAAGTCTGGTAAGATCTTAATTGACACTTATCATATGTACTATATTCCCATGTGTATATTTTATACTTTAATACACCGGATCAATATCAACTTATTAAGAATGTCCTTGCAAACAACTAAACAATCTACTATTATTAACGATTCTGTAAAGAATCCACAACCCTCTGATTCTCTACAATCTTGTACAAAAACAACAATAGTGACTAAAACGAAGAATCAGCCTCGTGAAAAGACTGAATCTAGTTTTACACATTGGTGTGACCCTTTTAAATGTTGAGAAGAAGAAAACCGATTTCACTAAAGTTATGTCATCGAAGCCTATAGATCCATTTTGATCTAAAGGATACGTTAATTGAAGACATTGTTAGTCCTTTCAAAACTACAGTATCCGAATCTTTATCTAGTACCAATCTACTAGAGGCCCTTCTGGAGTATGTGAGAGTAAAGTTGCATGCGCAAGCCTATTTTAAAGCTGAACGTCAATTGTACTCATCGCTGACTGACACCGAAAAGTCAAAACTCCAACTCCTAAAGTCCGCATTTTATGATACGGCAAAAATCCCATTACGTCTTGCTAACTACCTATCGATCTTTGTATTGCATTGCATCTTTAGAGACAACGTTTGGCAGGATCTCTATCAAGCATGGTCCTCTTTTAAAAGATATTTGGCACTTATTATTCATGGTTGGAATAGTTATATATTAACGTTAATATATCAAGAGGTATAATATCTTTCCATTGACCATAAGAAAGGTCTTTGGATTCTATTATTCTCTCTTCATAGGGTTTAGGTTTAATAAGAGCGGTAAGTTTATTCATTACTGCATCATAATCATAGTATCCTGAGGCTACGGCAAAGAACATTTCTGGTATTTCAGCTGCAATATGAGTATATCTACTCCTTGCCACTGTACTGACACTCTTATCAGCCCAGTCACCAACTTTATTGACCATATGAGTTAGGCCCTTGAAAGTAAGAAGTGTTGTCATTGTATGTCTAGCAAAGTGTGACTTAGGACTAGAGCGAATGGCAAACATTTCATATGGTTTCATCTTTCCAAGGACTCGGTCATAACTCTTAACAAAACTATCCCTTAGCATTTGATATTTCTGATTGTTTTGATCACTGGCGCGGATATTTCTAAGAATTTAGAAAGTGAAACAATAGAATCAATATCATTGTTGCAGGGATAGAAATATATATATCTATTAACTCCAGTTTTCGTTTCTGTAACGATCCCCCTTATTATCTTACCAATATACTCATTTCCTATAACTTCAAATGTTGCTGGATCTATATTTTTTACGTCACTGAAACGAGCACAATTATAGAACATTGTGAGACAAAGAAATTCATACTTCAAATTTTGCTCTATTAGAGCATTAATGTTTAGGAATTCATCATTAACATTTTTGATTGCATCCCATATATTTGCTTTTGTATCAACCAACTTTTGTAGCAACTTTTTACTATGCGTATTTCCCTTATCTTCACTCCCAGGGTAATTAAAGTTTACTTCCAGATTGTCCGATAGTTCTATAACACCATCACGTTTGACATGGTTAACAGTGAACTGCCATCCTTTGAATAGTGTTTCTAAATCGTTTTCAAGTATGTCGGGTCTTTTGGATTCATAGTTAAAGATCAAAAGTGATAAAGTTCATTGTTGTGTCCTATTACCTGCAATTGATGAAACACGGTACGCTGACATTGCAAATGTATACCCTTATTCCTCAGAAATGAGAACCTTGGTATCATTACTAGTTGTATTATCTGCGCACATATTTAGCTTAGTAGTACTGATTGTGAAAAATCTGCTACCAATAGTCATCCGTAAATGCTACTGAACATAGGAAATTACTTTCTGAATAGTTTTCTGTCTTAAAAAATCTTAAAAAAAATGTTGGGATATGATTAGCATTAGAAACCAAACCAGCATCTAATTAGAAAATTTAGATAAAATCCTAAGTTCTATAAAGGGATAGTTTTCTATCTTAGTGAAACTATTCCTGCCCTCTATTTAATCCTTCTATAGTTGTATATAATAAAAATAAGATTTAGTTTCCCAATAACTTAGTCTAACATGAATCAACAAATGAATGATAACTTCGAAACTATTAATAGTTCATTCTAAGTCGAACCTGCACCAACAAAATAATCTTGACAAGATTCCAATTAGGAGTTATGGCCAATGTTTCTAATACACAATTTTACGTGGCATTATCGTTCACTGTATGGAATTAATACCTGACAGTTCCGATTGGAAGTGCCGACTCATGTCTTAAATTAGTTACTTAAAGTTGAGCTTGTTCTTGTTCTGGGAAATATATGTCACACATAATAAGCATAGAGTGATTATAAAGATTGTGAATGAGAATTCGGTCCGTATTTATAACAAATTCACTAAGACCTTATCATGTAATCTGGACCATTGTGGTAGTCAATATCCATTTGTAATCATTTGTGATGGTTTCATATAGGCATGCATGGCATGGAAGGGGCCATTGATTAAATGCATCAAAATTTGACGAATCTGGCTAAACATTGATTTTTCCTAATCTCGATGGTGAAAAATGTCGATTTGATACCGGATAACATCTTGATGAGACCAGTGCCAATGGGTACAAGATTAAACTTCCTTAGAACACAGCATTAATGTATTGAACGACAGCATATATTTAAATTTATACAGTCTTGGTTAGCAACTATTTGTTGGCTCTGTCGGCTATTATTATAAGTAGGGTTTCCGTGATCACCTGACAATCGCATGAATAGCATGTGGCCTAGTGGGAATTTCCTATGTGAGAATATATGTAGAGGCAATCCCAAACTATGCCTAGTCTTTACAATAGCCATCCGCACCATCCAGAAGATTAAAATATAGCCCACCAATTGGATCATATCTTTCGGTTTATCCTGGATTAGAATTTACAGTGACAGTCCAACAATATTTCCAAACCGGAGCCCAACTAAGATAGTTATAAAACCCTTGGACGTATTCTTCTTCAAGAAGGCCTCTAATTTGTTGAACTTCTTTAGTCAAACCCCACATGTGCGTTATCCCAATTCCACGAAACGTACTTCTGCATTAAAATAATTCGAATGATGGATTAGACACTCAAGTTCACATAATGTTGCACCTTGAACTTCCTGGGTTTGTATAGTTGACAATTGAATCTCCCAATTTTCCTAGATCACTGTTCAGATGAGTAGCAATATTATGAGTAAGGTTATCCGATGAAGAAAGGTAGAATTTTAACAATCAGATGAAAGTGATCAAACCACCATCTCACTTTGCAGCTCCAAATGTAATAGCAGCTGAAGTTGCTGCATTTCCCAATGCACCGCATATTAATGCAATAGGAGTAAAAATCCAACATTTATCTGATCCCAAATCTGCTGAAC